ACATTATACTCATAATTGGCTCATGAGTCTGACTAATATCATAATTACTGCAGTATATCATGTTAAAGATGCTCCATCGAAAATGGATGTGGCTGAAACTAATATGTTATATTGATATTATGTTTAACTATACACATACAAACAATCGTATGTACGATATACATGTACACACACATTAAGGTGTGGGAGGGGCTAAGAGCCCTTAACAGATCACTGATGATTTCACATTCTTCTACATGTCCATGTACTTACATGTAGTCACAGGAATAAAAGGTGTAGTAGAATTGATTCACATTTCCCACTGCATGGTTGCTATGGTAAAGCCAGGATTAATTATAACTTCCTTTAGTCACAAGATCTTTGAATATATTTAAGGTATCGCCCACTTTTGTGTGTAGCTGACCTTTAACCGCCTTCCCTTTTTCTCTACCCTTGTTTTTATTCTTGTTGATTCCAACTTTATTTTCTTATTGTTCCTCACAGCTCTTGCTCTATCTTCATTTACTATCTTCTACCTTCATCTCTCTTTATTTTTTGTTCTTGCTATATGTACAGGTGTACACAATTTTATTCTTTCCTTCAAATGGCAACCAAACCATCTTCATCTTCTTCTCCTGGTCTCCTCAAACTGGAGGAACAGCTCAACTGTCCTGTGTGTCTTGACCACTATACCAACCCTAAGACTTTACCTTGTCTACATTCATTCTGTGAGCACTGTCTGGAGGGATTACCTCTGGATAAGAAGAATAAGACCTATTACCTCTCTTGTCCCACTTGTCGTCATTGTACAGAGTTACCAGAAGAAGGAGCAGGAGCCTTTCCTGTAGCATTTACTCTCAACAACATCAAAGAGATGCACAATCTAATGAATAGAAGGACAGCAGATTTGCCAAATCTTCAAGAGGCCACATGTAGTGATCATGGAAAACCTTTGGAATTCTTTTGTGAAACATGTGATACAGTAGTCTGTTCTCACTGTCCATTTCGTAATCACAAGCATCATGAATATGACTTAATCACTGATTGTTATACCAAACACTTTCAAAAGTTAAGAGAATGTTTATCACCAGTTGAGGGAAAGAAGGAAGCACTCAAGAAGGTCTTGTCTGCTCTAGCAGAGAGAGAGGGTGAGATCAGAGAGAGAGGAGAAGGAATTTTAGAAGAAATACATGAAATGGTAGAGGAAATGGTGAATGTTCTTCGTCAGTCAGAAAGAAAACTGACTGAGCAGGCAAAGAGGGTCACTGATGCTAAACTAAAGGTGCTGTCAGAGCAAATGAAATCAGCAGAAATTAGTTTGAGTGTTCTGGAGGATGTTAAGGATTATGTGGAACAGAGTCTGAAGACAGGCAGTCCTCAACAAGTCCTGAGGTCTAAGAAACAGATGATAGTGTGTATGAGTGAAATTACTGCAGGGATCAATATGGAGGAGTTACATCCAAAGGAAAAAGCCGACTTTGTATTGAGTAAAGATATCAAATCACTACATCACATTGGAGATGTTGTGACCTACTCGTCTACTGCACTACAGCAGTGTAGAGTGAAGAAAATTTGTTGCTTTGAACATCTACCAAAAAAGAAGAAATTTTCATTTTCACTATCAATGGAGGCACCAGATTCATCTCTTTTGTCTGTTCCCCTCTGTTTTCTCAGGTGTAGTCTAGTACCAGTTGGTAAAGGCCTTAAACCCATTCACACTAAGGTTACTACCACCAGCACTGATCTTGGAGTGTATAGGATACAGTGTAACCCTTCAACCAGTGGTACTCATACAGTAAAAGTACAAGTATATGATGTACACCTTGAGGATACCTCACTAGTCATCCCTTTCAATCCTTACCTTGATAGCATCACTCCAGCATGTACTATAACTGAGCTTAAGGGTCCCTATGTAGTTGCTGTAAGTGATGATAATCATGTTATAATAACTGAGTCTGATGGTAACTGTGTAACAATACTGGATAGAGAAGGAACAAAAGTAAAATCATTAGGAGAGGAAGGAGGAAGTGGTATTGTCAAGTTTTTTAATCCTCGTGGTGTAACCATTACTCCAGACAAATTAATTCTTGTATTTGATGGTAATCACAGGATCCAGAAGCTAAGCATGGATGGATACCTTATAGCATCAGTTGGCAAGGAGGGCAGTGGACCACTACAATTCAAGTATCCTGACAGTATAGCAATTTCTCCTATAACAGGACAGGTTTATACTGCTGATAGGGATAATCATCGTATACAAGTCTTGAATCCTGATCTAACCTTCTCTCATTCATTTGGTAGTAAAGGATCAGCTAATGGGCAGTTTGAACGTCCACTAGGTATTGCTTTTGACCATCAAGGATTAGTGTATGTTGCTGATGCTGATAATCATCGCATTCAGAAGTTCTCTCCAGATGGAAAGTTTGTGGGTAACTTTGGCAATAAAAGACTTAGTTATCCAATAGGTATAGCAATAGACACTGCAGCTACTGGTCTAGTGTATGTTAGTGAATATGTCAATAATTGTATATCAGTCTTCACTAGTGATGGCGCGTTTGTTAGGAAGTTTGGAAGCAAAGGCAATAATATTGATCAGTTTTATACTCCTTGTGGATTAGCTTTTGATAAAGATGGAGTATTGTATGTTTGTGATAAGAATAATAACCGGCTTGTTGTTTATTAAACTTCAATTGTTTATTTACAATATTTTAATAATTATTTTTGATTATTATGAATAAAAGTATTGAAAAATATGTCAAGAAAATATCAAATGATTTAAACTACTAATTTATCATTTTATGTAGCTTTAATTGTCATTTTTATCAAAACTTTATTGTATTAAAGGTACCGTATTTTACCTATTTAAACACCCGGGTGTTTATTTTGTAACAGCAAGAAAAATTTCGTTGAAAAAATGAATAAGACACCTCTGGATGGAACCCCCAAACATTAGCAAACCAGACCAAGCTCTAACTAATAAGCATTATTTATTAGGGCAGTATTTTTGGTAGAAATATGCGTATCTATAGCTAAAATATATTAATGACAGGTGTTTATTTGGACCTGGTGTTTATACGGTAAAATACGGTACATGTTTATACATGTACATTAGTATATTTACTGCTCCTCCTCCTTCACAGGGATCAATATGGTGTCTCCACCTACAGACAAGAGAACAGTTCATTAGGAGGGAGAAGGCCACCAGTGACATATGTACTGCACAAGCACTGCTGGCTAATGTATCAGCTCTGTATGCAGTGTATCATGGACCCAAAAGATTGAAGGATATTGCAATGGAAGTGCATAAAGCTACTATTCTATTAGCTGAAGGTATGTATGTAGCCATGTATGCATAGCATTAGTATTATTATTATTTGTTATTTAATTTTGACATTTTTTGCCAAAAATGGCTTTTTGATTTATTTCTTCTGAATTCTGATACATATTATTGATGTATTTATGCTGTGTAGCAAGTTTGAGCTGATTCCGACTTCGACTTCAATTTTTCATCAGCCAAAATTTGAAAAAAAATCCCTGTACTATAGCCCATGGTTTTTCCCAAAAAAATGGCTCCGAAATATCCTTGCCCTTATGCTGTGTATAGAAGGTTTCAGCTGATCCTTACTTCAATTTTTTAAGTTACGGCCATTTTAAGAAAATGCCAAAATTTTGAAAAGTACTCAAGGCTATATGTATGCTTTTTTCAGAAAAATGGCTCTAACATCACTCCAAATTTGTATTATATTTTTAATACATATTAATGTACTTACACACCTTTACCACACATTGTATTATGCATTCTCACAATAATAATAATGATGGTAAATTAACTCTGTTTTTCCCCCATTAGGTCTGAGACTATTAGGTTGGACTATTAATAATGAAACGGCCTTTGACAAAATTATGATGGAGGTGTGACAAAAAGAAGATAAACATACGTCACTATGATATGGAGATGGAACTGTTAGTTATTAATATAGTTATGATATTATTAGTTATTAAGTCTAGTTATTAATAGTTATTAAGTACTGGTTATTAATAGTTATTATTTTATAGTATGGTGTTTCACTGGATGAGACTGTCATTGGCAATGATTTAATTGACTTACTGTATGTGTTTGGAGCTAATGAAAAAGAGGTATAGTAATACATGTATGCTTCATGTTTCCATACTTCATAATTCCATGCTTCTTAATTCCATACTTCATACCATATAGCTGGTTTATTTCGTGTGGAATTAATTTTCGTGCAGGCTCAAATCCACTAAAATTAATTCCACTAAATTTTATTAAAACCAATTAAATATTAACAAAAATTTAGCAAGGCACTAAAATTAATTCTAATGAAAATTTAAGTAACAAAAATTTGAGGCCACAAAATAAACCAGCTATACGGTAATTTCATAATTCCATACTTCATAACTCTATGCTTCATTTTTCCATACTTCCATACTTCATCATTCTGTTCCCATACCCCGTAGGCTGCTTGTGTCCTATACAGTGTATCTGATGCTGAGCCTAATGTTAATATCACTTGTAGTGGCCATAAGAAGGAAGGGAAACACCTTATCTAACTCATCCTGTCTTTAATAGGTAGTACACTGTCCCCCCTTTCTCTCTTCTTTTTATTCTGATTATTTGCTTTATTTATTTCTTTATTCATTTATTTATTTATTTATTTACTTATTTATTCTTTCTTTTATTTATTTATTTATCGTTAGTTATCATTCAGAGACTAAGTTGTTATGGTACATGAAAGAGCTTGAGAATAGAGACCTCTCACCGTGTCATTCCATGATACCACTGGTAATAATAATAATAATACACATGTACATGTACATGTAGTTCTATTTACCATACATGTATGTATACGGTATACATGTGTATGTACAGTTTAATTTTTTATGCAGCTTAATGATACTTGTACTGTACGTTATTCTTGAATTTCTACCTATTAGCCTGGCCCTAATTTTCTTGCCTGTCTACTTATAAAATTCCTCCATCTACACACTATAAGAAATAAAAATTATTTTCTTCTCAATTTTCCCCTCCCTCCCCCTAGGGTTCCTGTACTATGAAACTCTACCCTACCAGTTCCCTACTCCCAGCATTCCTCCCTCAGTTCAACACCATTCCTCCATATGTACCCAGTGTATCAAACCAAGAGATATCAAAGTCTTATTGATGAGTTGGAGACTCATTTGTGTAGCATCACTGGATATGGTAAGTTCTCGTTTCAGCCCAATAGTGCATGGGACTCAGTATTTAAAGTTTTGAAGTAAATGCATATGTACAGACTGTGTGTGTATTATGTATTTGTTGTTTGATAGGTTTAATGCAATTTCCTAAAACTGGTATAGCATTTAATGCAGAGATAATCAATCCAGCGATTGAAGCATCTACATACTTTTGAAATGGAATGTGTAGCTACTTACATGGTATATTTTGTACGAAAAGCAAGCATCTCAACTTCTTTTAAAATTATTTTTACGAATTAAAAATTTGAATTATTATTGTTTTTTATGACTTCAAAAATCTTTTACAAAGGTCAAGGTGTGGCTCAGTGGTAAAGGGGGTGTACACTGTACAGCAATGGAGGGTCACTTTCCTTTTATTCTGACAATTTGTGCTGGCGCTATTTCGTTAGCCCTTGGCATTTGGAGCTCACTGAAGAATGAAGTTAAACCAATGACTCTATCAGGCACAACTGTATGTACCTTCCTTTACTTGATTTTTATTTATGGTCAAAACAATAAGGACTATCTAGCTATTCTTGTTGGAGGTTTCATACTTACCTTTGCATTCTCTTTCATGTTCTACTTAATCTCTCACAAAGCTTTTCATTACTTCTCAAAGCAGTTCTCCTTTACATGCTATGTGAATGGTGTACCAATCTTGGTAAACCTACTTCCCTTGACAGCGACATTAAGTGTCAGTTTGAGTGCAATTTATCAATTATATATTGGAACATTACCATTGCTACAAGTTCTTGTTGTGCTGCTATTGTTTTGGATTTATCCTCTAGGAATAATAGAAGCAATTAGCACTTTTTCAGATTTCATGACTCAAAAACAATTTAAGCTAGAATCTGGCAAAAACAAGACATCATATCAATGTTCATTTATTGCTTTCTTAGTAGCTTTTGCTGTGATGCTACTGTATCCATTTAATTGGCTGATTTATAATATCGCAGTCTTGGCCTATGCCATTCTATTATTGAAATATTATTTTTTCCATCATACCCTACTATGTCTTAGCCTAGTAACACTAATATCTCTTATTGATGCTGTCTTTCCTGTACATGAAGTAGGTTTAGCACCAGTTGGCCTCATCACCTGTTCTGAAATTTTGTTTTCCACTCATTGTGTGACTGCATTTGAAATAGAATACTTGTTTGTTCCTGGACTTCTCATTTCTTGTATATGTCATTATGAAAAATATCGTGTTCCAGATCGACTGAAAATATTAATATCATCAGAGAAGTCAAAGATAAGAGTTGGCATTCCTGAAAATGAGGAGGAACTAGTACAAGAGAGACAAAAGATAATTCTTATTGCAGCATTCATTGGCTACGTATTGTCTTCGTTTGCTGTTTACTATTTTTCATTTCTTTCTAAATGTCCATTGCTCACTCTCACTATAGGAACAAGTATTCTACCACTGATAGCATTGATGTTATTGTACTGGCCTGAAGGTGAATTATTACAATTCATAATGACTGATAGTCATCAAGAGATAATTGATCAGTTGAGCCATGCATTTCAAAAATCTAAAGGTAAATTATATGGTTTGATTGTTGGCAATAATAATTTTTTAATCTTTATTTTAATTTTAGGCTCTGATCAGCCAAAACGATCTAAAGGGCAAAGTATGTTAAAATAATCAGACTAATTGTTATTTTATTTTATCAGGGTTCAAAAACGATATAGAAATAGCAACCAAACGTTCACTCAGATTGCCATCACCAGAGTTGTCATCATCAAGCATTACAGTCTCTACTGACAATTCACATGTATTGAAAATATTTCGGCCCTTAATGGCAGACTTTGCCAATGCACTCGCACATGATCCTATTATTTATCTGGTATCAGATAGGCTCTTCTCCCATTCTCTTATTTCTGCTCCTGTGCATAAAGACATAAATACAACATTAGGTGTATCTCTGCATATAAAGGCCAGCAAACTTGTTAATGAGGTGTACAGACAGTTGAATAGTCATAATGAACCAGTCCAGTATTTGACTGATTTATGTGATGCACTTGATCTTGTAGAAGATCAACCACTGCAGTCTGTCGTTGCTAATAAAATTAAAATGTTTTTGTCCAATTAGAAAGTAAAAAATTTTTGACTTAATATTTTTATGTATTGGTTACATACGTCACAATGGTGCAATTATAGTAGTCTATATGCAGAAAGTTTGTTCAATAAGATTTTGGTAATATTGGTGGTTGCGGTTTTGAAACTAATAGTAGCAAGAGATACATGCACACATGATGAATAAGGTACAGAGCTGGACTCAATGAACTATTCATGATACATGTTTATTATGATGTCATGTCTCTCTCTATAATGTACATTCACTTTAGAGATCTACTCTAATAGTGACTCAAATCTGGAAAAATACACCCTACTTCATTGACAAAGCCACATGAATATTATCATGATCATACTTATAATTTTAGGATTTTAAATAGATGTTGAAAAAATAATTCTTTTATTTAAAAAATATCACACAGAAATTTTCTTTTTAGATACCATTACTGGTAGCAATGAGAAAAATGACAATGTTATAAAAAAGCATGGTATTGTCATAAAATAGTTGACATCTCCTGTAGCATCAACAACAGGACCAATGACGAGTGATGCTATTATTTGACCAAAAAAAGCTCCAGTATTTATGGTAGCTACAGCTATACCTTCAATCATTGGTGGTCTTCTAGTCCATTCTTTTCTAAATAGCATATCTGCTTTCTACAAAAGAATTAAAAGAATTAAAATAAAGGTATAATATTCACTAACTTGATATAATGGGATAAGACTGAATGGTAATGCCAGTATAGCACCAAAGAAAGGCCCATAGACAGCAGTCAGTATATACACTTGATATAATTCTCTACAATAAGTTAGTAACGACAATGCACAGACAAAGGCTGCCAGTGTTATCAGTACTATAGTCTTGAGTCTAATCCAACGAGCAATGTAGTCCATTATAGGTGACATTATGGAACAGCACACTGTTGCTATTGCTAATCCAAGTGATCCCATTCTAACTCCTTTAGTGTATAATTTATAAGAGGCCGAGTCCTCAGGACTAGAAGGGTCTCCTTCATATACTGCTACACCAACAAATGTTGTGAAACCATAAACAAAAGCAAAATCAGCAGCTAAACCAAAAACAACCATTAACCACAAAAGCCACATGTTGTAGGACATGTAATATGCAAATCTGACGATAGAAACAGAATCGAAAAATATTTTGCAACATGAAGGGAGAGTCCTCTGCTTCTGTCTTGTTCCTATGGAAGACATTCTAATAAGATCATCTTCACATTCCTTGTCATTAGCACTATAAGTGTCACATGATATAGATTCATTTGCCCCTGCTTCATTGACTTGTGCACAACTTGATTGTCCAAAGCTTGATTCATCTTGATAATCATCTAATGATCCTATCAGTTCCGATGACAATTCGTTTGTTAGTGATTCGCATTTATTTTCATCACAATCTTGAAAGTTAGTTTCTGACTCCAATTGACTCTGACAGTCGTTTGATTCCAGTTGACAATGATTCTTTGTTATTGATATCAACTGAGTTTGGTTAACGTGTGCTGATTCGTGAATTGATTCTGACCCATGTTGACACTCATGATTATCCAAAAACTCTAATTGGTGAGTTGATTGTTCATTATTTTCTATTGATTTAGGGTTCTGCTCTTTTACACTAACAATAGTGAATATCATAGCTAGGAAAATGACGACTGCTGAAATACCAAACACTATCTGAGACTGATGCTCAATGCTTACACTAGTACCGGAGATACTTGACCAATCTATAGTACCCAATGCATAGCCTAATGTAGCACCGACACCTATAGCAACAGACAGAATGAAATTACCGGTCTGACTTTGTGAAACAGGAGTAACGTCCAACAGGTATGCTCTTGTCGGTAGCATCAATAGCCCACAACTGACGTCTAATAGAAATACGCACATCGAAATACCAATCACCATTACTGATTGAATGTTTAAGTAGATACAGTAAGGAAGGGCAGCAAATCCCAGCATAGCAGTCATTGAGAACAGTACAATGAATGGTCTCCGTCTACCCCAACTACAGGTGCACTTATCACTGATTGTTCCTATAAAGCCTTGACACAGCATACCCATCACAGGGCTCAGTGTTATTAGGACAGTGGATAACGTTAGACTCAAGCCTGATGCTATCATAAACGGGACCACGTAAGCTCCTTCAACTGCATATCCCAAATCAATGGCTCCAGTAGAAGCACTGAGAAGAATAAGACGCCAAATCGGTACTGGTGTCTTTCTAGATGGCACGGGTGACATTGTTTGGTATAAATATAGGTGTGGCTTTACATTTGATTAATTGGCCACATGATTCCACGTGGCTCACAAACTCTCTGCTGCAATAAACCATTTGCTGGTTCTAATTACAGGATTTCATAGATTACTATCAATTTTAAAGGAAAATGTCACTGATTAGTTATTGTGTGCATAAATCTTTATGCATGCTACATGTATTCTGTTTAGCAATTATGGTACAGTTATTGCTCTGTCTAGTTGTTGCTACATAATTTTTCAAAATTTTATTAGATTTTTATCAAACATTGCAAAAAAGTATTAAAGAATCAAATGTGGTTAATAGATGTTTCAGTAGTACTTAACTATGCAGTACGAAGTAGCAGTACAATATGTATACAGGAAAGACTTTCAATATTGTAGTCTTTTAACATTCTACCATCTTCAATTCGTGTACCGCCATAAAGTAGCTGTACCTGATGACTAGGAATTCCTTCAGCCTCAAGAATTTTTCTCTTAAGCTCAACAATAGGTGTCTCAGGGAATGAACTTTCTGGAATTTCAATAAAAATCTTTCTCCTGGTCAAAAACTCAATGTATACACCACATGGATGAGTCTGTCGATCATTAATCTGTAGCCTACTGATAATTTCAATGATATCTGATGCAATGATCCTTCTGAAGGGATCATCTTCCAAGCAATACTTAGCTAGTGGAATCAGTTGATTTCCTAGTACCCGTTAAATAGAGCCGGCTCTCCTGTCCCATTCTGATACCTTAATGAAAGAGTTACGGTCTTGAGGGCTTGGCTTATATTGATCAGTTGGTACAATGACATTGCCAGTGAGCATATGTAGAATAAGACAACCAAAAGAGAACACGTCTAACTTCTCACTATAGACAGGATTGTGTACAAAAGCTTCTGGTGGCATCAAGTAAGGATTACCTGGAAAAGTGTTGTAATTGTGTTCCTTCAATGCATCACCAAGTTTAGACATACTCAGGTCTGTTATCTTTGCCTTATAATCAACAGTGACGAGTACATTGCTGGCCTTGATATTATGATGAATAATGGGAGGTCTTTTTGCGTGAAGATAATCAAGTCCATTAGCAACGTCAAGAAGAATTGCTTCTTTATTAATAATACCTCTTCTCTCTATTAGCTGCAGTAGAGCATGAGGAAGATACTCCATTACCAGCATTGGTAACTGGGAACCAGTACAATAATGAACACCAAGCAGTCTCACAATATTGGGATGATGTAGTTGACTGTGAAGGATAACTTCATCACCAAACTTACTCAGGAGCCTATCTTCCTATATTATTAAAATTCCAAACTAAAATTTTAATGTTTACATGATGACGCCTTATACCGTGCTTGTGGCTAAGAAATGAAAGTCACGTAGCTTCTTTCCAGCACATTGATTCCCATTGAACCTCAATTCAATCACAACTCCGTAAGATCCACGACCCAATTCTCTTGTTGTCTCCCTCACTCTCCTTAGAACATGAGGCTGAAGTTTCACTCTTAGCTGGACTGCCATTTTCTGCTATTAGATCCAAATGGATTTGGGTGGTGACTGTGGTTGTTGATGCATTTTATTCATTAATTATTATAGATCTAGGTTGGCATTATTAGTGAAAACCTAGTTGAAACTGTTCAGACTACAGCCTATAGCCCATGAGTTTTTTCTAAAAATTGGCTCAATTAATCACCAAAGTTTTTGAGCTGATTTCGACTAAAATTGGTTATTTAGCTATTTTCTAACCTGTAGATCTACTGTGTAATCCATACTAAAATTAGCTCAAAAGTTTCACCCAATTTTTATTAAATTTTGTATGCACTTATGCTATGTTGAGCTGATTCAGACTTAAAATTTTCAAATTATGATCATTTTACCCTGAAAAATACCCTGAAGCCCATGCTTTTTCCAAAAATGGCTCAAAAATCACCTACAAATTTTATTACATTTTTTGACGCATTTAGATGTACTTATGCTATGTGGAAAGTTTAAGCTGATTCTGACTTAAATTTTTAAAGTTATGGCCATTTTAAATGAAGTTATTGATCTCAAATTTGACATAATCAATCATAGCTTGTCGTGGATGCCTCCATTTACTCTTTCTGGAGTGCCAATATTACAACTCAAAAAAGTTTTAATTGAAATCAGCTCAAACACTTACAGGCAGTGGCACTTCTGACATTTCATGCAGCAAAGCAATATTGAAATCAGAAACTGCAAATCTAAAATCAAAAGAATTAATCAAAATTTTAACTCAACTCAATAATGCAACTGTAAGTGGAACCCTCTTATCCAAAGATGGTGACATTGATTACATGACCATCAGTAACTTAAAAAGTAAAGTATTAATTATTATTATTATAGAGTAACTTCAAAGCAACAATGCTAGTTTGTATAGTTTCAATAAACATTTTTCTTTCCTCTTCCTCTCCCCTTCCCCACTTAAATTATCTCACTAGCAGTCCTTGATTAATTCCCTTTACTGAACTCCAAAGATCTGTTTCAATCTTGAGGCAGCCTTGGGTATTTTCCAGAATTTTGGTATTTTCTTAAAATGGCCGTAACTTGAAAAATTGAAGTCGGAATCACCTCAAACTTTCTACACAGCATAAGGACATCAGTATGTATCAGAAAATGTAATAAAAATTTGGGGTGATTTCAGAGCCATTTTTTGGAAAAAACCATGGGCTAAAGCCTTGGATATTTTTCAGAACTTTGGGATTTTCTTAAAATGGCCATAACTTGAAAAATTGAAGTCGGAATCACCTCAAACTTTATACACAGCATAAGGACATCAATTTATATCAGAAAATGTAATAAAAATTTGGGGTGATTTCAGAGCCATCTTTTGGAAAAAACCATGGGCTATAGCCTTGGGTATTTTTCAAAAATTGGCTCGTTTTTAAAATTGGTCATTATTTCTGGATGCATTTAAGACTTGTCTGTCATGATAGGCTGGTGAGTACATTGATAAAATCATGAGTACCTTATACTTATGATTGTACTTTAAAAGTAGCTGACAATTTGTAATGTTATGAATAGAGTAGAAATAGTAAAGTCTTGCATATCTTTAATATTTTAATCTACATAAAGTAAAATTTGGGGTATTCTACAGTTGTATGGTTGAATACACTGATAAAAGAATATCAACATGAATCTGACACAAAAAGGATAATCATAAAAATTATGCATACTCTTGCTATTTGATTAAAATAATAGGCAATTCCCAATGCTATGTTTGGGGTAATTCACTTTTATTGTTTTTGTTATTTGAGTTACATAAGGAAAACTTGGCAGTTATTTTTATCTGTATAAACTCATGTGTTATGATTACTATGATGTTGTAACTAAGAATACTGGAACTACTTTCTGTGGCAACTGTTTATAACAGTAAACTTTGTTCAGTAAGTAAAGCTTTGTTTTGCTGAGTTCACTAACAAGATTATCATGATGATTCTCCTTTTGTGTATTCTTCTTCATAGTGTATCATCTCTTAATATCAGGATTGATGGAGATAATGGAATTGATTCAATTGAGTGTCTGACAGAACAACCACAGTCTTCCTGTCAGTCATTGAAGTATGTAGCTGATACTATTAACAACACTGGTAACCTCACAATAGAGATCATCAGTCCTACTCTTAGTCTACAAGGTAGTGTTATATTCACTGATATTAATGGACTAACTATCAATGGACAAGGTACTATCATTAGCTGTAGCAATGAATCAATGCTCTATGGTAATTCTGGTATAGTTTTTGATACTTGCAGTAATGTTAAGCTCAATAGTTTTACTATTGAACACTGTGGGTTGCTCTATAAAAATGAACAAAAATATTGTAGACGCCAAAGTATCCTTTTTTATAATAGCAAGAATTTTAGCATCTCAAAAGTCAACTTCAGTGACAATAATGGTTATGGGCTGGTATTCTATGACAGCAGTAATGGTAGTATTCAGCATAATGTTTTTGAAAACAATGGTATAAAACATTCTGATCTTTCAATAGATGAGGAATCAAATGCAACAGGAGGAGGCCTACACATACTTCAGTATAATCTTTACAATAATATAATTGGAATTTATGCTAATCAGTTTATTAATAATTCTGCTACAACCATTGGTGGTGCATTATATATGGACTTACATAGTTGTGCAAACTTTAATTTGTACATCACTGCTTCTAACTTCATTGGTAATAAAGCTGAAACTGCTGGAGGAGCCATTGGGTTTATAGTACACCAAATTTACTGCCATTACAATGGCACCATACCTTTTGGATATAGTATTTCTACATCTAGTTGTAATATTATCAATAACATGGCAAAATTTGGTGGAGGAGTTGCAATTCAAATTGTCCATTATGAGTACCATTATGACATTACAAAGGTAAAACAATTTTTTTTTCGCTTTTGTAATTTTACTGGCAACAAAGCCATGGCTAGCTCAGCAGTAGATATCAATAGTAGAAGCCAAAATGTTTATCAGTATCTTAAAACTGTTATGATTTTTCAAAATTGTTGTTTCAATAAAAATATGGCAGAAGCAGATAACAATCAACAAGATCTTAGAGGTAAACTGTTTAAAGCAACATTGTATGCTACTGATGCTTATATCTATTTTGTTACAAAAATTTCATTTGTCAATAACACTGGTACTGCTTTATTTGTAGTAAACAGTCGTGTACGTATGTCACATAGGGCTCAGATTAGATTTTTTAACAATACGGGGGATCAAGGTGGTGCTATTTTTTTGGCCGATGATTCAATAATGACATTTGAAAAACATAGTTTATCGTTGATAAACATTTCAAATAATAAAGCTCTCATTGGTGGTGCAATATACATCCAATCACTGATAAAGTTACATGAGGGACCGTGTTTTCTTTTTCAACCTCATGATGGTATTAAATTTCATTTTACTAGCAACAATGCAACGAGTGGATTTGGTCATGATATTTTTGCCTCTACACTTCAAAATTGTGTTAAATTGTATGGTGGAAATGCTACAACATTATTTAAAGCTGGAAAAATGGGCAAATTTGAATTTTCATCATGGATACCACCTCCAGTAGCTACTGCACCAGTTAACCTGTCAATCAATGAGAAAAAGCTAGTTCCTTATCCTGGTATACCATACAATGTGACTATTACACAAAAGGATGAGTTTGATAATAATGTAACAAACTTACAATTGTTTCCATTGTCAGCAACACTACAAAATGTACACAATTTGTCATTGAAGATTGATATAACTTACTCTATTGCTGACAATTACATAATAGTCTTTAAAGGGACAGTAGGAGATACAGCTACTTTATTACTACAGACAACTGAGTACAGTGCTAGGAAATTGTTCAATATCACATTATATCATTGTCCTCCAGGATACATATTTCACATTGACACCTGTCAATGTAACAGTAACTACTATTATGGAATATCAGGTCGTTTAGAAAATTATGCAGCAGTCATTGATGGAGGACTTTGGGCTGGATATATAGGAGACAAATTTGCAACTGCAGATTGTGTGACAAGTCTATGCGATTATCATAACTCTAAAGGCAATAATAGACATGAAGACCATGTCCTTCCATTGAATTACAGTCTCTTGAACAAGGGCGTAGCTGGACCTTGGGTGACGGTAGGGCAAGAAAACAAAATGGCGCGCGAAGCGCGTAGCGATTTTGGCCACACCCTTTTTACGTAACAAAATCGAGGCATTTTCCCTGCAGCTGAGCAAAATCAGAGTGAAATTATCATTGTATATAGCTTTAAA